AACATGAGGAGCAGACAACCAAAGGTTCATACTCTACTCTGCAAAGCACAAGCAAAAGATAATTTCTTTAGTTATTTCAGCCAGGTAACTTCTTTAGATATTATGATGAACAGAGCTGACTTAACTATCATGTTTGTGTCTCAAAGAAATCTGAAGGGGAAGAAAATTTAAAAAAAACCCACACTCTTACCTAGATCAAAGGCTGTGCTTTAAAATTTCCTGAGGAAAGTAAATACTGATTTTTATTAAGAAAAATAACATTTTCACTTCATGTCTGAAATATTTCGAAGGACTGTTGGGTCTTTCACAGGCATCACACAAAATTAGTGCTTCAAGAATACTGCAAGGTCAGGGAGTATCTGAAGAAACTGAGTGTGTGCTTCCAAAAGCAAAAGTGTGCTCAACAGAACAGTCCACAAACAGATCAGTATTTAAAAAAAACGTGTCATAAATTACAAGTTGAAGTAAGTTTTTCATAACACTGCTATAACCCTTGCCCATAGGCCTATTTATATTTGTAGAATGTCCATATGGAATTACAGCATATAGAATCCCATTATTTGACTTGATTTAGTCTATTAAGCAGAAAAAAAAAAATAGATCATCTTTCTGGTACATCTTTCTGCTCTGTGACATTATTCCTGTACCACATTTCAGGTATGCTTATTTAAGATATCAAAAACCATTTATTGTACTAAGTTGAAGAGAAGGCCTTTTTTTGTCAAATCACACCAGTAACAGTGACAAAACTGAGTCAAATTTTAAGGGACAAAGCTAAGTTTTTGTTGCCTTCATGTTCATTTTAATTGTCACTACCATCTGTTCTATTTACCTGCCACTTTAAAGTCAAGGAGTGCTTCATGTATTCAAACAAATAGCACTGGCTACCATGTCAAATTTGAAATATTAGCAGGTTGGGTTCCCTAAAGCGAATACAGACATACCTCACAGTAACAAGTATTCAGTGGCTAGTGCTGCATAACTCATCTTCCATCTATCTCAGTTCTTTTCTCATTCCATTAGTAACAACTAACAAGGGCTCAGACAAGTTCTCCCTACCCTAAACTTTACTCTCATCTTTAGAACAATTTATGTTTTAGGATTTTGTTCTTCACCTAAGATAGCCTGATAATACTCAATACATTATAAAATATCTTCTAAAATGCCAGTGCTTCACTATTAAAAACTTTAATCTCTTAGTGTCAAAATAAATGATACTATAAAAATATGTAATAGAAAACTACTGCAGAAGCAGGCGTGGAACACAGGCAAAATAGTACTTCTCTCCTTTGCTTTCTAAAAACTCACAATTGCTGTACGGCTTGCCAAGCTGTACCAAGTTCTAACATACTCTTTTTAAAAAATTGTAATTTTCTAGTTGATTATTTTTATAATAAAAGCACTTACCTAAACTTGCTCTCAAAGACTCCAAAGTTGATTCTGTCACCAGACTTCAAAGACATGGAAGAGCCACAAAGTTTTGATCCATTAACAAAGGTCCCATACTTAGATGTATCTCTTACTGTTAATATAGGGACTGACAGAGACTGGCTCTGAAACACATAAATGAGCCATTATAGTTTATCAGAATGTGAGATTACTACCATTAGTTACTACCATTATGGATCAATGAAGGACATAAATAAGAAAAAGCCCACAAAATACTATCCTAAATACTTTGGCCAATGAGGCTGTAACTATTCATCTTCTGGTTTTCACTGTGAAGGAATTAAAGAAAACATACACATTTTTTGCTTCAAAACTTTTGTACTTCTTACACTCAGTCTTTTTGGAAGCTGTGCAAGGCAATTGTTTGCTGGCCCAAAGCCCGTGCTAGTGCAATTCAGCAAGGCTCTGAGCTTTACTATGGATGTTTTTACCTACCATCAGCCCTGGCACAGATGCCCAAGTCACCTTCCCGCACTTTCTTCCACAAGCGCCCCTAGTCTTCTACACACTGCAGAACATGGTGGCACCAATGCGCCTTGAGAAGAGGTCAGACACTGTCAAATTTGCCAAATTGTTTACAAGCCAAGGAGAACACTGTCAGTCTGTTTTATCACATTCTGCCACATAGTAATACACTATTTGCAGTATTAAATGGACAAGTATATTTTATGTATTTCATCTCAAACTCTATGGTTACATAAATGAAAATTCTGCTGACTGGCTTCAAAACGTCCATAAATACTGCAATGCATAAGTGATAGTAAATTGCTGCTTGCTAATTCTCCTTGGGACATTTTCAGTCCTCTAAGCAAATACAGAATTAACAATGTGGAATGAAACACAAACTAAACCTGCTGCAATTGAAGCATTTACCATAACTGAGACCTAAAACTTGTCCATATAATCAAATTTAATTGCATCATTTTCCTGTTATTATTATTTTAAGACAAGTTTCTAGCAAGTCTTCACTTTGAGATAAAAGGAAGCTTGGACCACTAAAATTATGCCACTAAATTCTGCAACAAAGGCAAGAAATCCTGAGGGGGTGGGGAAAAACGTAATCAAGATTAAGAAAAGCCAGGTGAGCAATGGTTCTACTCCAAGCATAAAAGAGAGCAAAATGAGAGTACACATGGTCATGGCAGACTGAATTACCCACACAGCGTATTGATAATGTAGTAAAATGCAATCAGCTACTTACAGAGGTTGTTTCAGGACGACTTACTGTCAGAACTGCATGACTTCGACTAATGGACTGATCATCCTGAATCAAAATTGCACAGTTTTTGCGACCAACAATATATTCCGTACCATTTAAAAGCCGGTACGGCTCGCCTTAAAAAAACAAAGAGACAGAAAAATATCAAAGCACTTAGGAAACATTCAGAAGTCTGCAGTGTATCTGAAACTCAACTTTGCCATGCATCATTTATTAGGCTCACTAGAATTATGCATTTAGTTCATGGAGAAAATACCTTTCTTCTCCTCTCCCTTGTGTTGTACATGATAATAAGAACACTTTTTTATGATAAACAAAGCCATTACAATAATGATGGCACACTTTTTCCAAGGACAAAATATTTCTACTAGTGCTTTCCCTATTTTGTCTTTTATTACTTCTTGAAAATTGTTACATAAAGAAAAACAATTACAACACAAAGACAGCTTTTCCAAAACACAGGTTTTAAGGGTACATAATGTTTTGAGGGTACATAGTATATTCATATAACTTCTTAATAGGTCCAGAGGAAAACATCCTCTTAATGAATACGGAAAGATCCACAATGTAAATCAAACCAATACTTGGTAAGCTCAGTCTCTGGCCTATGCTTTAGCTCAGTCTTGGTATCTGTCATTTAGATAACGTGGTGTCTTTTCAGTGAATGGCTTGACTACATCAAAAAGGTGCGTGTTACCCACTGGTCAAGCGAACCAGAAATATTTCTTAATTGAAATCAATGCAGATTAAATTATCATTATCAACATAGGGCAAAAAAACCTTCCCACAATACCAGCGTTTTGGCTCTTGCTCAAGAGTTTTCCAGGCAGTAAGAGATTCACAGAATCACAGCATGCTAGGGTTTTGAAAGGACCTCCGGAGATCATAGAGTCCAACCCCCCTACAAGAGCAGGACCACCTAGGGCAGGTCACACAGAAACATATCCAGGACGGTTTTTAAAGTCTCCAGAGAAGGAGACTCCACAATCTCTCTGGACAGCCTGTTCCAGTGTTCTGTTACCACACTCGGTCCTTGAAACATCAACTCAGTATCTCTTCTGAAAGGAGGGACTCCTGAGGCTGACCTGCCTCAGAGCTCAGCCCTGCAGGTACAGGAAAGCAGGACTGTGACTGCTGCACTGGCCGCAGGCGCCGCCTCAAGACACCCCACGGGAGTTCACAATGTCCCATTAAGAGAAGCTGTGCTCTGCGGCGGTCACGCGAAAAACGGAGGCTCAGCCACGGACGAGCGCCCAGAGTAAAGAGAATTTGTCACCTTGTCCACAGCGGCCCAAGGCAGCTTTGCCGGGGCAGCCCG